GGGGGGGGGGGGGGTAACATCCCGAAAAGATGGGGTAAAACAATTATTTTACCACCCTGAATTTTATCCTCTAACCGCGCTTGTAAATGATTGACATCTGATGAAACAAATCTGAATGAATTTCTCTGAGAGTTTGACAAAGTTTGAATTTAAGAAGAGTTGACACAATAATGCACTTGCAGTTATAATTGCAGCTATAGGGAGGAAACCCTGGATTCTCAGGAGTCATGTAACTTTCAGCCCATGCTTACATCCTTCCTGTAATCTTCAAATCAAGATTTATTAACCCTATCCTTCCTGGCCTTACCCCTTCCTAAACAATATTCCTTAACCCTATCCTTCCTGGCCTAACCCCTTCCTAAACAATATTCCTGAACCCTATCCTTCCTGGCCTTACCCCTTCTTAAACAATATTCCTTAACCCTATCCTTCCTGGCCTTACCCCTTCCTAACCAATTTTTCTAAAACCTAACCTTGCCCTTTAATAAATATCAGGTAACACGATATTCTGTAAACCTGCAGTACGTTGTAAATTATTAACTATCTATGTTTGTAAACTTCAACCTAAAATCCATTATTTATTTGAACTGCACTTCAAATGAATTCGTAGCATGATTAGCTTAATCATGTGATATATATAATTACGTACATCTTAATTGCGTCTATTTTAACTGGGCTGTAAATACGTAACATGATTATCTTAATCATGTGATAAAGATAACGACGTAGAAAATTGTAATTACGTCTGTTAACTTTAACTTGTAACATATAAACCTCAAATACATCATTTGATATAGAGACTCTGATTTGATTGCTGCCGAGAGAGTAATTTGGATCTCATTGAAACATACGAGGTGAGATCGTGCCCATTGGTTTGGCATTGATCGATTACTAGCTAGTTTCCTTGTTGGCATCAATAGCTGACAAGATTGCCCCCATTGTTTTAGCGTTGATAGAATACAAGCTAGTGTCCAGTTGACATCGATAGCTCATGAGATTATGCCCAGTGTTGTTGCATTGATTGATTACTAGCTAGTGTCCGTATTGACATCGAAAGCTGCTAAGATCGTGCCCGTTAGTTTGGCATTGATAGGTTACAAGATTGTAACTGGGTTTAGACATTGATAACTGAGTGGAACTGAATTGTACCTGGATAGATACGGGTCTGAGAGCAGTTTATGGGGTAGGGTATTTACTACAAAAGTGGTAGCAGCGGCGTGAATCAAGAAACCCTAGTTAAATTTCACAGACTCCAAGGAACAAATACAAGTGGTTACCTGTTTTAAATAGTAATAGGAGAAAAACTGTGTCAGAAGAACAGTAACAGTGAAGCAACAAGTTGTGGACAGTGTAACGAAATGTAAGTGGACAGTTTTGATAAAGAACCAAATATCAGAAGACCAATCATGAATGAAACCAGAAGAGAAGATGGAAAACTTCAATGCAAAGAATTTAAAGCCCTGTTGCAGAGAGTGGAAGAAATGGAGTTGCAACACAGAAAGAAAAATGTAGAATGGAAAACATTAAAAAAGATTCAATAAGTAAAAGCAATGTTGGAGCAGAACAAGAAGATAGATAAATCACAACAACGTATGAAACATCTACAGAGAGTAGTGGAAACAGGGGAAGCAACAGAGGATACATACGATGAGATGTGTGATATCGAAAATTGTACAAGAGAAAGAGTACAGGGCTTTATTGAAAGAGCTCCAGAATATGATAGAAATCAAGAGATAATGTTTGAATTGTGCGAAAACTTGAAAATTCATTTGCTTAACGATGACTGGGAAACATCCCAGATAAAGATATAAGAAGGATGATGGTTTCATGTAGCAGCTAGAAGAGAGATAATACTGTTTTTTCAAACGGGAGTAGCATTTGAGAGATGTGAATCAGGAGTTTTTTTTTTGCAGAAATGATGAAAACACAAAAATATGATGAGTATAGCCAGGGACAGGAATACCTAGAAAAGAAACAGAGAAAGGAGGGTGATACTAGAAGAGCTCATACAGACAAGATAAAGTTTTATTGGAAACAGGAATACCTGGGCAAGAAACAGGAAAGTGTTGGGGATACCAGAGAATATTATGCTGCCAAGGAAGAGTTATGGTCACGCTCCAAACAAGGGGAGCCTGGTTGAATTTAAGAATGAAATGCTCAAGGGACTTTACGATACAAAGTTGAAGAAAACATGCCTGTTTTGCATGCCTAAGGAACTAAAACAGAAAAGAGAGAAAAGACCGACAGAAACAGGAACAGGGAACCATGGTTGTGGCACCTGAAAGGAGTTTAGCAGAGAACAATTCTAACAACGTATGTCTGGATGAAGTTAACCAAGCGTAAAGGAAGGATATGCTGATTCAAGAAATATTTCTGATAGTTTAAGAATTAAGACTTAAAGTACCAAATTCCCTGGAAACCAGAAGTATCCCGGAAAAATACAAGGAATATTGATGGGTTGGGATAGATCCTGAGTCTAAAGAATAAGAATTGGAGAGATGATGAAGAAGAAGTCGAGAAACAAAGGGAACTAAGCTATCTAGATTGCTGGATAGAGTGGACAACTTGATGAGTGATGAAGAGAGAGAGCTGGTGGATAGTACAGAAGATCTTATTTACATAGATAGGTTGGTTAGTAATGAGGACAAAACTAGGATTGAAGCCTTACTGAGTGATAAGGAGTTTTTAGAGCTGATGGAATTAAAACACGGTACGTCAAAAGGGTTGAATCGTGTAGTAAATCTTAGCACGGGACTTGTGATACAACAAGAAGTGACGGAGACAATTGCTCAAAACAAGAAGTGAGTCCCATACCGGAAATCGGGTAAAGAAAACCGGAAGACGAGACTTCGAAAAAAACATGCTACCAGAAGAGAAAGAATCAGGCTAGGAAAGAATACTCCAAGAAAATACTCCTAGTTTATCAGACAATATCCAAGCTGTATGCGAGAAGAAACAAGAATTTTACAACACTATTTACCACACCCCTTCCTAACCAAAATTCCTTAACGCTAACCTTCCTGGCCTTAATCCTTCCTAACTAATATTACTTAACCCTAACCTTCCTGGTCTTATCCTTCTTAACCAATATTCCTTAACCCTTAACTTCAGGGTATTAATCCTAAGTTCTTTGAAGGGAGTGTTCGCGAAAAATGAAAGGGGGTATAGGCTGATCCCGAATTGAATTCGGTTTTGATCACTACTAATTTTAATTCTATCTGTTGTGTATATTGGGAGTAAATGCTTAAAAATCCCTTATAACCGACCGTAAATAAATCTTTTAAATTTAAAACTAATCATTCAGATATTACAAGTTATAAATGTCGAATAATTCGGGGCATTTGTTTGTAGTTTACATATCATAATATTTGTTCTATATGTTATGTACTTTAAACGACGATTATCTGGCCGCATTCATCTTCAACCTAACCTTCAATTAAACCTGATATTCTGCGAATGATTTCTCGACCCAATCAAATCTTCTTTTTTGCTCTAAAACACTCTAACCTTTATTTTTTCTCAATTTAGTCACAAATTAGTTTATCATAACAATATCGCATCTCAGAAAATTCATTTGATCAATCCATTTTCTTCTCTTTATTAAAACCTTAAAAGTTGGCTTAAATGTTTCACCTTGTAAACATTAATAAGTTGTAAATTTTTTATTTATATAAATACAAATCTTATTTGGTAAAAAAATATTTCAACATTTTTCTACTTTTTCATCAGATCAGGAATCCTTTAACAAATTGGATTTATTGGGAAATGAGAGATTTAGTTGTCGGATGTACTGAATGCCAAGGACGTTTTACAATCTTGTACAATAGGTTCAAGATTTTTACATATAGCAGTTCTAAAATCGTGCTTAATGTCTACTAAGCTTCAAATACATAGCTTATGACAATTTAATAAACTTGCCACAAATTGTACAAAACATGTGCAGACAATTGTTTTATTATGAGAAACATTAGAAATGGGCTCAATAAAATATGTATGGGTTTCTCAGCTTGGCAGATCAAATAAAATGCGAATATCACAAGTATATTATACAATCTTAATACTGCAGTGAACGTATCGGCATAATGGAATTCTTGATTAAAGGGAGAGACCGGCTATGTAACATATTTGAACTGAGAATGCAGCATTGTAGAGAAAAACTTTGGAATTCATTTGATACCAATGAAACATTTTTACGGTTTACTATTTTTAAATAAGAGCGTAAAGTGGTCTCATCAGTTGTTTCAGCAAGCAAAAGATACGTTTTTTTACTATTCTTAAATAACATGGACAAAACATTTAACATGTATACAAACAGGATGAGAAAAACAATGAACTTCTATCATTGGCAATATGTTATTAAAATTCATTTTAAAGGGGGTGTTCGCAAAAAATGAATGCGGGGTTAGGCTTACGTCGAACAATATTCGATGGGGATTGCTACTAATCTTACTTCTATCTGATGCGTCTATAAGGAGAAAATTGTTAAACACGATGCATACCAAAGAATATAGCATCAATACAAATTTACAAAGTTGCAATATTTGACTTGGACCATAAAAAAATCAATTTAATTCCGAACAAATAATTCAGATATTACAACCTACAATCATCCACGTGACAGAGACACAAGCGGACAAAAAATCCTCGTTTTAAGAGCAGCATTGTATATACCAAATAAAAAATACATCAACTATTTACGAATTCGTCGAAAAATTATTGTAGGTCGTCATTATAGACTTATTCTTTGTGGATAACCCTGTATTTTGCAATACGGAATGAATAAGTTGAAATTACAAAACCCTTAATCACATTTGATAAAGATAATATTTTAATTTGAATCCTTTTATTTTTCAGATGACGGATTTAAAATTATTATTCGTACTTGCATTATGTCTCATCAGTTTCTCAGATTCAAGACAGATCAATCGATGGCTTGGCAGTAGGCAGAGTAGACGAATTGATCAGGTAAAATGTGATCATTTAAATCAATTGTTAGCAGGCAAAGTAGGAGAATTGATTACGTAAAATGTGACCATTTTAATCAATTGTTAGCAGGCAGATTAGGAGAATTGATCGTGTAAAGGTGATCATTTTATTTAATTGTTAGCAGGCAGAGCAGGGGAATTTATCAGATAAAATGTGATCATTCTAATCAATTGTCAGCATGTAGAGTAATTAGAATTCATTACGTGAAGTGTGATCATTTTAATCAATTGTTAGCAGGAAGAGTAGAGGAATTGATCAGATAAAGTTTTATAATTTTACACATTTTCTACACTATGCCAAATTTTACACCTATGTTTTCTACACTATGGCAAATTTTACACCTATGTTTTCAAGACTATGCCAAATTTTACACTTATGTTTTCTACACTATGCCAAATTTTACACGTTTTCTACACTATGCCAAATTTTACACCTGTGTTTTCTACACTGTGCCAAACTTTACACCTATTATTTCTACACTATGCCAAACTTTACACGTTTTCTACACTGTGCCAAATTTTACACCTATGTTTTCTACACTATGGCAAATTTTACACCTATGTTTTCAAGACTATGCCAAATTTTACACCTATGTTTTCTACACTATGCCAAATTTTACACGTTTTCTACACTATGCCAAATTTTACACCTATGTTTTCTACACTATGCCAAATTTTACACCTATGTTTTCTACACTATGCCAAATTTACACGTTTTCTACACTATGCCAAATTTTACACCTATGCTTTCTGCACTATGCCAAATTTTACACCTATGTTTTCTACACTATGTTGAATTTTACACCTATGTTTTCTAAACTCTCTGAGGGAAAATGTTTATACATTATTCTATTTTAATTCTACTAATTAAGGTGAGGGGAAGGGGGTCTCCACAAGTTAGCCCAGGTTTCCCAAGAAGACGACAACCAACTGTTTCTGAAAGGTGACGTCAACATAACAAACAAATACTGATCAAATTCTTCAAAGAAAATATTCAACAATTTAAAAAATATAATTACCAAGTATGTTGTTTGTGCGCAAAGGATTTGAGTTTTTACCACAAACTCTGATTTTCTAATCCCTATATCTTTTTAGATATTTCAAACTATGAATTATGATAAATCAAGTAATCCAAGTTTGAAATATCAAAGGGTTACAACTTCCGGTCGCAGAGATAAAGGGCTTAGAAAATTTAAGTTTGTGGCAAAAACTCAATTCCTTTTTAAGAAAGTTTATAATACCTTAATTTGAGGCATTAGTGTAATCAACTTTTAATCAAAAATTTATATTTTACTTTTAAAAGTTCAAACGCCGTTCACAATTACGAGCCTTTTAGCTGAATTCGGTAGAAACACTATTTCATTAACTATTGTTAAGGAATATTTTTCGGCGGTATAATAGCTTTATAATTCCTTATTCCAAAATGTTTTAGTAGTTTGTGTAGATCCGAATATATCAACAATATCTTTAAAACAAGTTGGTCAAAATTTAAATCATATTTCTGAAAAATGTTAAGAAACATATAATCAATACGTTCAATGCTGATTTTAACCAGCAGAACCTGCATTTAACATATTGATTATTTAAAGTTTTTATTTTTAATATTTAGACGTGAAAGTTCTGTTGATCAAGGAGTAAGTCTAAGTAGACCTCTTTCTCTACAGGATAACAGGTAATACAAAGTTTTGAAATAAGCTTAATTTACTATTTAGGAAAGTTCAAGGAGAAACTAAAGAAACATTTTTATGTATTTATATATTATTCAGAGAGAAAAAATTTAGCACGAAAAAAACTTTTTTTTAAAATATAATTTTGTAAATGTACATGAGAGAAAGGTTTTTTCAAAGAAATTAGAATATATATTAGAGTGGAATTTAGACAATCCTTCGGTATGAATTTTGTCAGTCCCTTTCAGCCTTAAAGGGAGTTCAAAGTGTACAAATCATGTAAATGTTCACAAAAAATATATGCAGTAGAGTACATTAATGTAGTATGTTTCCTAGACTATCCATTTCAATTTCTAATTTTTTAAAGCTGTTAAATAAACTTTACAAAATGAATTAGGTGAATAAAAACATCATTTGATTTGTAGTTATAACGGAAAATCATCGTTTGTAAAGTGAAAGTCTATGTGAAATGATCATTGGTCAATTATGAAACCAGCCTATTTCATAATTTGGTTTTCTTTCTATGTTAATTTTAGATTTTCTTTAAAATGATGTTCCAGGGCCCAAAAGGTTATATAGCACAAATATGTAAAGTACACCTGCAGTATGGAAACAGTACAACAGAATGGCCGTTTTACACTTTTTTCTAGTAAAATCCACTCAAATATATATTCTATTCTCTTTGGGTTTTGTGCTTTTACCACGAACAGATTTTATAATCCCTATATATTTACAAATTTCAATTTAATTCAAACTTCAATTCTTTTAAGTCAAATAATCTAAGTTTGAAATCTGAAAGGTTTGCACAACTAAGTTTCAATTTCTTTATAAAAAGCCTTACGTAAACAAAAAAACACTGAAATGAAATGACAAAAACGAAAAAACTGGACAAATCTCATCATTTATTAAAACATAATGTTACTTTCCATTAAATAATAAACTTTTCGATTAGTAGAGAAAAACATGTCGTCTTTATTTTGATAATATTTTGGCAATCATTCGGATGAACCTAAAATTACAAGTAGCACAAAATTTTCCAGTCCTGGCATTTCAAAAATAAATATTTCTTTTAGGCTCGATTAAAGTTACAGTATGCTATAAAATATTCAGAACATTTCCGAAAAAGCCAATTTTTTAAAATCCAATATTTTTGTATTGATTGGAGTTGAAACGAATGCGGGTCATTATGGAAAGTGTTCATGATCGTTCTACAATTTTTTAATAAAAGATTAAAGAGGAATTATTAAAGTTGTCTCTCAATCCAAATTTTTACTGAGACTTGATCCTGCTCAAGGTTATGATGCAAGTAAAGTTATTTCAGAGGTGTACCCATCTTTTGTACTGCAGTGTACTGTCTCTGGGCGGTAATGTAAACACAAGACGGATGTCGAAGCCTAACATAGGATTCATCTTTCACATAAAAAATCAATGAAATATTCTGGTCATAGGAAACTATTATGTGAATTTTCAAGATTATTAAAATTTAATGCTGTTAACCTCCTCGGATACTAAACGAACACTGATGCATCTATTCTTGTTTACAAATTCCGCCCAAAGAGAACTGGTTCCAATATGTTCGGAGAGTATGCGCAACTACAATTAACTTTCCTTGCTTTATAACCTTGATCCTGCTGGACTAACCAGGGCGAGATGCTTTCTGTTTCTTACATTTTAATTCAATCGCGTTTTAGTCTTTTATTCAGCAATCTTTAAACTAACGGAGTTTACTTTTTCTTCTTGTACATTTAAACCCCATCCACCAGAGATAAAGTAAAAAAGAAAACAAGCGAAAAATAGTTTTGAATAGGTAAAATTTTATTCAAAAGTCACAGTTTGTTAAATCAGCCTACTTTTGACTTGACAAAAATTGACGGATGTTATTGGATATATTTATTCTATAGTGCAATAGAAAGATGATTGTTAGGCCAAGTTATGATTATAAGATAAAGGGTGATTAGACTGTAATTCAGTAATCTAATATAGTCTTTTAATGGCTTATACATGGATTTGGGAAAGAAAGAAACATATATCAACTATTTGCCATAAATTGAAGAAAACAGTATATATTCTTTTCTGTCGTCTTTGTAATCTCATTCTTTGAGGTAAACCTGTACTGGTAAAACTATTTACCAAGGTTAAATATCGTCTTTTTATTCCACCGTTTTTATACTTTCCAGCATTTGCTCAATTAATGTTTGAATAGATGGGATCCTATTGGTCTGAGTCTAGCCAATAAGAAGCCAGTAATTCTCAAGAAATCAGTTTATCTAAAGAAAAACTTGCAGTACAATAAACAAAAACAACAAGGTAATTTGTTTCAACGTAAACTTTAGAAATATAATTATTTTTAGAATCTTTTTCATGAATCTAAAACAAACTTTAAATTGAAATCTCATATTTCAGAGCGAAGATTAGTTTTCAAACCAACAACAGACATTAGCAGAATAGATACAATAAATACAAGGTTAGTTTAATAAATATTCTGGTTGGGAAATCTTCCCCACCTCAAGTACATCTTTTTCTCTATGAAGGTGACATACACCTTTTAACCAAATTTCCAAATAAAAATCCAGAAAATTCAATAAATTGCAAAATAGTATTGATTTAATATGTAATCTAAAGAGTTGTAATTTAAACGCAATTGAGAGCCAAACTTTTTAATTAAATGAAATCTAATTTAATAAAAAATCAGTGAAAACCCAGTCTTAGTAAAAACAAAAGACTTATTGTTAAGTGAATCATTCATGAAAATCAAATTTATTTTCAGAAATCTAGTAACAAAAGATGCTTCAATAATTGTCTACTCGTTATTATCTGTTTTTAAGAATCTCTGCGATAATTTGAATTTTCTAAACATTTATATTTTCACGTACACTAAAATTTAAACTTTAAAGGAACTGATTTAGAAAAATGAAAGGGTTTTAATGAACCAAAGTTGCGCACAGGAAACTTACTAGATCCAAGAATGTCCTGGCTGTACTAAATATCATTATATTATACTTATTTCATTAATCATTATCATTTTATTTAGTGATATTATATTATTATTATTATTATTATTATTATTATCTCTCTGTCTTGTAATTCTACGCCGACTGCGCGAAACTCCTGTGGGCTTCTGCCCCTGGGTTATTGTGAACGAGTTTCATCCAAATCTTGAAAAGACGACATCTAGTGTCCTATCTGTTATTTTAATTAATCAATGATTTTTCTAGACAACTTCCTCCAACCCGGTGGAACAATCAAGCATTCCAGTTTCATAAACAACAGTTTGCTCAACAGGTTCAACAACAACTTCAGAAACAGCATCAACAACACTTTGTACAGCCTCGACTACAACAACAGCAGCAACAACAACCACCGCAGCTTCTACAACAACAACAACAACAACAACAACAACAACAGCAACTACCTCAGTTTTCATCCCAACCTCTAAGTGGAATTCAAATTGCAACTTCCGACCAAAGAAGTCCCAAAACAGAACTATCAAGTCCACAAAGAGGTCCTCTAACTGACCTAGGACCCTACGAAGAGGTTGATGGTCACAAAGTTTACATGTTCCAAGGAGTGGATGGACGGGGATCATATGATCAGAATAAACCCAGGTATTTTTAATGAACAGCAAGGAGTTTAACAACATAGACTAAGTTGATTTATTTCTTTTGAACTTGAACTTGCGCACAACTTAGTTTAACTGCTTCTCGATTTACATTACGTGTATTTCCAAGAAATACTAGAAAACAGAAGCGAATTTCTCATTTTTTTTCTCTTTTGCTTTTTTATTTTCATTAGTAAATACTAAGCACAATGTGTCATTTAAATTTTTTGGGAAAGCCTGTAAATAGATCAAAAGATTAAAGCTCTAAATATTCTAAATAACCCTGTTAATAAGATCAAAAAATTAAAACCCTAAATATTCCAGAGTTTATGATGGGACAGCATCCCTCAGTAATGTCAAGTGGAGCCAGGTATAATATCAATCAATTAGACAGTTATCATAAAATCAATTTAATCAAAAATGATTATGAAATTAATTGAAATTAGAAATGACAAACTCGGATGGATTCGAAGTTATTTTTTCTCAGTTACTTAAAGTATACGACTGATTTATATTATCTATGAATTAATCTAAATCCTATAAATGCCTAAAAATACTATAATGAACAAGGACACCATGGACATATTTAGATACATGTAATCATTATTCTAACAATATTTATGGTATTTCAAGTTATCCTTGACAGCTTACACTGTTATATAATGTTCAGTTATATCTTCAGTTACAGTAGTACCCATCAAACTGTAACAGTAGTACCCATTAAACTAAGTAGGATGGGTTTGCGTAAACTGCACAATTTTTCTTTGCTCAATGTTGATGGACTATTCAAAATCATGATTAAAAGTCTAAAAGTCGTTTTTTTCTATTCCACAATTTTACGGGCCCAACTGTATAGTAAAAATGACATCAATAAAATTGTTAGGTAGCGATTTAACAAAGTTTTCATTGAAGCAGATCATAATTAAGTATAGATAGTCTTACAATCTTTCTAATATGTTTTTCTTCTATTTTGATAAAAATACAGGGTGTCATAATAAACATGAAAAATGGTGACTGGTTATAAATCTTCTTTCTTCTGAGCAAAACTCTTTTGAAAATCTAATCAAATATTTAAATATGTTTAAAATTGTCTACACTTTTTTAGATTAAAAGGCATTGGAATAACTTTTTAACATGTATTCATTGCCAATCAAAGATTTAGACAATTTGAATTATAAAATGTTAATGAACTGAAAATGCTTTTCATGTTCTTTTTTACCATTTGGAAAAGAAAAATATGAAGAATCATATTTTATCATCTACATTAATGGGAGTGACTTGCTAGGTATGGTAGTTGAACTGAGAGTATAGTATTGAAAAAAAAATATCAAGATTAATTTAAAACTGGAAAATGATTTTACGTTGCATGCAATTGCTACAAAAGGCCAAAAACATGTTCTTATGAAATCCGTCTTCATCGAAAATAACGAATTTTTTTCAGTCATCTATTTTTGTAATATTTTATTCTTATCCCAAAACCTTCCTTGAATTTTATTGGTAAGACGAAATTTGCAGAAATTTAAAGTGATCTGCAAAAACATTTATGGCAAATAAGAATTCAAAATAATCAAATGCACATCCATAATTTTTTTGAGAAAATTTTTCCGAAACAGCAAATTACCTAGTAAATGAATTTTTGTTACATTTTTGTCCAGGCTATAAAACATTTTTCATATTACCTAATATATCAATATTAAATGAAGCCTGTCTTCTTCTATATAATAAAACAAGACATTCATATATATGTTCCCTATAGCCGGCCAAACGGCTGGACCGAATGGGTTGACATTTTTTGAGGGAACCCATGAGTACCCCGGGGGTAACATAGGGAAAAAAATTCAAAAATTTGAATTTTTCAAAAATCGAAATATTTTTTCTTCAAATATTTTTTATTATTCCACGGGCAATGCCGGGCCCTTCAGCGAGTAAGTTGTAATTTTGCACTCTCAGTTCAACTACTACACCTAGCCAGTCACTCTCTTTTAATAAAATACGAAACACATGGCAAAGCTGGTTTTTTTTTGCAGGCGAAGACTTTTGCCCCTTCAATTGACCTTAGCACCAAACCAAATATGTACAGCACTGAAGTGTACAGTGGTACAAGCACGCCTCTACCTCCTTTCCCCACCAGGCATACGTCCCCTCAACCAAAATATGCACCAGTTATTATAATTGCGCAGTCCAATGTAGAACATAACTAAGCTGTTTGATTTATTTATCTTTTTTTTGTGTACATACGGTAATAAATAAAGAAAATCTTTGACCTTGAAAATATATAACTTAGTCAATAGTTATTAATTGTGAAGATTTAAGATTAAAACTTAATCTCTATCCTTGATCTGAAAATATATTCAATCCAAACTCTAATCTTGATATTTACTGAGTGTTTAATCAATTTAAACTCCAAGAGCTATTCAATCAATCCAATTTTTAATCTTGATATTTACTAATCGTATAATCAATCCAAATCTTCATATTTACTGAGCATGTAATCAATCCAATCTCTAAGCGCATTTAATCAATCCAATTTTTAATCTTGATATTTACTAAGCGTATAATCAATCCAATCTTTTATCTTGATATTTAATAAGCGTATAATCAATCCAATCTTTAATCTTGATATTTACTGAGCGTATAATCAATCCAATCTCTAAGTGCTGATATTTTGGTGTAGGTTGATGGAACACCTAAAAATTAAAAATGTTTATAAAAAACTATTTTTGAATATTTTTTTTCTTTCTGATTTACATGGTGATTAGCGCTATTTAGAACAACAAAATTTTTTTAATATATATTTTTTACAAACATTTTCAAATCGATTTCTGAAGAATGATGTTTTTTTTACAAAAAAAATAGTTTCGCGGATTATTAATTTTACTATGTAAAAAAAATATTTTCGGTTTATTAGCAATATTTTTTCAAAAAACCTAAAACCCTGCAAAACTTTAATTTTGTTTTTTTTCTAATCCTGTTTTTACTCTCCCTTTATTATCTTTATGATTCTTTTCACAATAGATTCCACTGAATTAATAATTAAACCAGAAAATTGAACAACCTGGAAGAAGGAAATTAAACTTTTTAATTAAACCCGGAAAACCAAATTTAAATATATGCATACAGTGATAACCAGAAAATTCTGAAATAGGAAGACGACTTTTATACTCAATATATGCCTTTGAATAGTCCAATTAGTATTGAACACAGCAATTGTGCAGTGTAAACAGATACATTTTAATTATTTATTAAGTGTCTAGTTCAACCATTTACTTTGTAATATCATAAAATACACTAAGTATTGTTATAAAGTCGTCTTCCTATTTCAGAGTTTTTGGTTATCACTGTATATGAAAAAAGGCGGAAAAAATAGAAATTAGAATTTTTGAGTTTACCTTCTTTATTACATGCCATAGTGTAGGATTGAAAGCCAGCAAGAATATCTAAAACAAGATGAAAAAGTTAAAAATAAAAATTTGAGAATTTTTTAAAACTATTAAACAATGAGTTTCTTTTTAAAACTTGTGCATACTTTGCTTTGGTGTTTGTTTGTTTGTCTATTTGAATCTAAAAAAAAAGTCAAAACGGCTCAACCGATCGGGTGTAAATTTTGTGTGGCAACTTACATGACCTCAGGGAAGGCTAACGGACGATCAAATTTAAAAAATGTTGCACTATTAGAAAATGTTCAAAGATTATTATTTTTGAAAAGGGTTTAAAGGGGACCATTATAAAGCGGACATGTATTTTTTTTCTATTTTCCCTTTAATAAACGAAAAAAATGACAGAAACTTACCCTGTTGACCATTATTGCATAGAACAGGACTGCCAACAAATCCTGAGACCAGATTTAATGGATAGCTAGACATAGTTGAACCAAGTAGACTAAGTTGAACTACTTTTCAGCTTGATTTAGCAGACAAGAGAAGTAGATCAAACTTATTAACGCTATTCAAAAGTTTGGAAGCTCTCACGCTAAAATGTATTAGAATTTTGTCAATTACTTTTTTACAGTGAATTATTGAGATTCAATCAAAGGCCAAGGCATTGCGGAAATTGAAAGTCGACCCATGATCTTGAAATACAGTTTTGGGATAGGAGTCTGGATCTTTCAATAAATCTTGTCCCTGGGCACATTTCAGCTGTATTGGTGGCAGGGTTTATTCCACAGAAGGTCGAGAAGGAAACATCAGAACCAATCTCAGGGTTAGCCTGGATATGAAGATTTAGTTAGTGTTGAAAAAAAATATAATTGATAATTCCCTAATTGTTTTAATTTAGAATTTCATCTGAACTATATTTAAGATTTTGCTTACTGCTATGGATACTTTGAGATGCGATACCAAAGCGGGTAAATGAAAATGGCAAAAAAAGGCATTGTCTTTTTATCTTGCTATCTTTCAATAAACAGCTTAGTGTACTAACTTTTCAATAATCTCAGCTCTTAATGGTAACAATTTGTATGACAAATTTCCAGAAAGGATGTTATTTTTATCAAAAAAAATCATGAAATATATTGCTTTTATAACTACTGCAAAATACAAACCTAAATAATTCAAATATTTCATTTTAAAAAAATCATACTTTGCCACCACCCCCTTCATTACAAAAAGAGTAAAAACCAATTACTGTAAACTCTGGTTTCACGAACCGGGCCGACTATTAACCAGGAAGAGCAAGGTGTACAGTACAATTACATATAATGTAAGGTAAACCGTACGCCAAGTGAATGATCCCCTTCTGGTGAAATGTATGTATATGACGTCCTGCATATGTAAAAGAGACAAATCGCTTGAAATCGTTAAATTTTCAACAGTATTATAATTTATCCCCAGAAGGAAGGCTCAATTATAATTACGCTTTTAACCTGACAATCTTGAGTTGAAATATAAAGAGGATGTCCCATCTGCATTTTCTTCTTTCCTGCATTAATGTAAACACTGTAATTATTAGAGTTAAGAGTTGAAACTAATCAATACAATCACCACAAAGGAATTTAGTTATAGTTGTCACAACCTCAAATTTTCTAATCCCTATATCTTTGCAACCTGTTGGTATAAAACCTTTGATATTTCAAAATATCTACAGTCTACAACATTGGGTTGCAAATGTAAACGGATTAGAAGACTCATGATTCCTTTAAGCATATCTTAATTCTATTTTGGCTGAAATGAAGATTCTACTGTTGATTTATTCACAATTCACAATTGTATATTGAGAAATATTTACCCAAACAACTTAATTCATAAAAAAACCTTTTTCATCGTCATTATCTTTGTTAAAACCGATTATCAAAATCATACCTCCAAAATCCAAAATTTAAAATTTAAAAAAAACTTTACAATTTTGCACTCTCAGCTCAACACACTCCCCTTTAATAAATATTTAGGTTTTAATTTCTAAAAATTTAACAAATATTTTTTCATATTTGAATTCGGTGGGAGTCAAGGACATTTCAAAAATGTATCTTTTGTATTTTGAGCAATTTTTATTTTTGCACATGTTTTGCTAAATAACTGGATTTTGCAATTTATATATAAATTTTTTGCAAATTTGTGATTTGTTTTCAGATTTTTAAAGAAGAGCCCCAGTGCAGGGCTTTGAAAAATATGAATTTAATGATGTAGATT